CCTAATCTCATTCAAAATATTAGTATTGGATTTTGGAGCTACTAAGAAACAGGTTTTGATGTCTGGCAATTGGCAAATGGATAAAGTATACACACACACATATAAATACACACAGACACACGTACACACATATACATATATACACATTATATACATATACACAAACACACACACACATATATACACACAGGTGCACATACATACCTACACACATGTACACGTATACACACATGTATACATACACACATATACATGTTCATACATGCACATATGCACATGCATATATTCATATGCACACATGCACATATGCATGTATACAGATATACACACATGCACATACATTTACATGCTCATACATTCATACATAAATGTGCATACATATAAACATATATGTGCACATATGCATGCGTGTGCATACATGTATGTGCACGCACACATTTACACAGCTATACTTATACACATACATATATGTACATGGATACACATACACATGTACACACATATATGCATATACATATATGCACATGCATATATACACATATATACACATATGCATATGCACGCACACACACACACATATATATATATACATATATACACAGATATGCATGCACCCATACATATATACACACAAACACACACATATATACATGTATACAATGGAGTACTAGCCAGTCACATGAAAGAATGAATTCATGTCATTTCAGGCAGAATGGGTACATATGGAACCAACAATGGTAAGTAAAAGAAGCCAGACTCTGGGAGGAAATTTATGTATGTCCTGACTTAAAAAAGATTGGGAATCCTCACTCTTCAGCAGAAGTTTAATGCCTCAACTGCATGGAAGTTAAGAGTAGAGTGCTGGATTCACAGCAGCCATGGTGCACCTATGCCAAAACTGATGTAAGCTATCTGATTTCCTGTTGAGAAAGATTTCAACTTGGCTATCTTACTTTCCATGCTTATTTTGCCTTTTTAAACAGAAACATTCTACCCTCATTACAGTCAGTGTTATTTGAGTAAATATCCACATGAGTAGTAGCATTTTGTCCTTTGCTTTCATGTTTTTTGACGCTCAGTAACAAAGTACCAGAAGGAACTTACTCACTTGCTGTATCAGAAGGGTCAGAATGGACTTTTCTCCACTTTTATGGTCCTTAGATTTATACGTATTTATTGGATATCTCAAAATATTGTCAAGAAATTTTATTTGAATGAATAAAGTAGCATAGTATGAGAGAAAAAATTTTCAAGGAATTTTTGTGTTTTTTAATTCTATTTTATGGTATTAATATGCTTACACATTAATTTCTTCAGCACACTTTGAGATTCTCAAAACAAGACATTCATATCAATAATTATCTCCCCAGAACAATCGCTATTTTTGTCATACATAATCTGCATAATTTACATTAGAAACATGAAAAGTACATAAAACAAATGCATTTGTGTTAGATGTGAGCTGCCATTTCAGAAATATTCATATATACATATATATAACTTTATATAAATGTATAATTACTATCTGTCTGCTTTAAACTTGTATCATTTTATCCCGTAATATTTCTTCCTATCTGTACCTGGGATTATTTTGGGACCATATTGATGTGTGTTGGCAGACCACCCAATCTTAAATAATTTGTAGGGGCCGGCAGGTGGTGTGGTGGTTGAGGTGCTGGACTCCCCCATGGCTGACCAGAGTTCTAGTCTTGGACTTGGTGGCTTGCTTTCTTTCTCTCATTCATGCACACACATGTGCCCCATAGAAAATTAAAATTACTTATAAATAAAATTAAAGAGATGATTATTTAAAAATTGAAAAGTAAATAATTCATTTTTAAAAAGAATTTTTGGGTCCAGCAGATGGCATAGTGGTTACATCACTGGACTCCCACATGGACAACCACAGATTGACTTTCAGACCGGTGGCTTCAAAATTACACTGGGCGTGTGCGTGCATGCACAAGATCCCATGAGGAGAACTGAGGAGAAAGGATTGTAGCATGACCATCCTCCCTGGAGGGGGTGATTTCTCCCTTTCCCTCTCACTGTCTCTGTCTCTGTCTCTGGCGAGGGCATGCATCCACTGACAAAAACCTCTAAAATATGAATTTGTATACATAACAGTCTATCTATTATTAAACACTGAGTAAATTCCAGTTACCTTATGAAACAATTGACATCTATCTAAGTATGAGTAAACCAATGTGCAGTTTGTTGAATTACCTCTTAAATTTCTCTATGCCTGTATGTGATATAGATATTGATTAGATCCCTGCCCCATTGATTAATTCTCCTCATTAGAATCATGTATCTGTCAGCTGTCATTTACCAAAGAAAATATGATTAGCCATTCCAGCATTACAGAAGAAAAGATCACCTACGGTTACAGGAAAATACATAATTATGGAGTGTTTGTGCTGTGCGTGAGAACCAGTCCTGGGAACATTGTGGGCACCTGCCTCTTCTCCACAAGGCCTGGAGTGACCTGATGCATGAACCTTGGTGGCCTCTCCTGGGTCATGGAGACTCAAGTTCCAGTGTTTGGAGTCACTCACTCAAGAGCACGGTCAGCCATGAACGCTGTCCCCACATCAGGGAGTGCCAGGCTCCCCTGTCATTAGAGGCTGAGACTCAGTAAGTGGATTGCAGCAGTGGCAGGCCTTTCCCTTGGGGCTATTTCAAGTTCAGGCCTTTGGGAGACGGGCAGCAGAAATAAATCACCATCCTCATTCTATTTGCTGTCACTGATGCGGTGTTTGCCAAGCTCACGGTAGAAAGAAACAAAGCCCCTCTCCAGAAAGGAGTTCTTCACTAGTTAGAAACCAGAGTAAATACTGCCCACGTGGATTAATGATCAACAATAATTTCACCAGAAACTGCGTCAAAAGCCTGTTAACTACTTCCATTTTCTACAAGGCATATACTTTAGTAAGTTTTCAATTTTATTTATTCTGGTTATCAATCATGCGTTCAGTTAGAAAATAATATAACTGAGTGAAAAATTACTTTTTAAATTCTCTAATAAAAAATATCTGAGTGATTAAATAGGTATTTTTAAGATTTCTAAAATGTTTATCTCTAAGTGTAGGCTACAGGAAAATCAAATATTATTTTTCGACATGTTATTTGATACATATAAAAAAATGATTTTTTCCAAGATTCAATTTTTTTATTATTGAATATTGGCCTGAGGGTATTTCAAACTTTGAAACAACTACTTATAAAACCTTATTATAATACATAACTGGTTGTGTAATCAATAATCAATTAGTTGAAACTATCAGATAAAGTTTATCTCAGAGATAAGAAGTAAAAAAGGAGAAGAAAAATGATTAAAAAGATAGGTTTAATCGATCAATATATTACCACCCAAGTGAAATAGTATTGAGATAGTAAGATCCAATATCATCAATCAGCATCTCTCACTAATCCTATTAAATATGAAGTTTATATTGTGCGTGCATGTACATGCGTACATACATATTTGGGTATATCCAAAAAATTATTTTTGGCAGACTTAACATTGAGATCCTGCCATGCATAGGAGCAACACAGTGATGTCTCTGCCAACCAGAGACACAGTGTATTCATGATGGCAAATTCATTCAGTATGCTGTAATGATACACAGTGATTGGATGTAGAAAAAAGAATAAAAAAGAAGGAAAGAACAAATAGCAGCAACATGTCTTTTTATCACTTTCAGTAAATTCATGAATTCTTACATTAATATCCCTTTGGAACAATTGTCTTTACGTGGTTTAAGGCCAATAAAACACAAGAGCAAGGATGCCAACTTTCAGAATACCGAACCACAGCGTTCCCTAGAGCCATTAGTTCCCATCAGTCCACATTATCCAAGTACAGATCAATCACATATGAAAACAAAGACGATGTTGGGGTGAAAATATAAGAATAGGGCACTCTAGGAAGTGCCAACAGATCAGAAGGGGATCATGAGACTTGAGGAGTATGTAAATTGTGTGCTGAGGAAAACAAGCGTCTGCTGTCAAATGATTGCTGCAGCTTTCTCCGTCTAGTGAAAGAGGAATGTTCAGCTTAAGCATTTTAAACTAAATTTCCTCACCCACATTTCTTAAACAATGCACTTTATTCATCTATTTCCGGTTGGATGAATTAATTGAATTATTAAATTAATAGAGACATGGCCATTTTAAAAACAGAAAGCCAAGTCACAAATACAGTAGGTAGGGGATTTAACTATGGTAACAGGAAATATAACACTACAAAAATATATTAGAGCATGTTGGGGTAACACAGACAGACAGGAGCTTGATGGGCTTCTTTCTATGCCGGTACCTGTATTTATATATCTCTGCATCTTTATCTGTTTTTCATTTTCATGTATTTTCCTCCAAACTATCTGTAGTTTTAAAATCAATCATGAAGCTGAAATAAGGGTATAGCAATTAGAATAGAAAAGAAAGAAAATGCACATTTATAAGCCGAAATTTAACATTTCTGTGCTGCATATTTAACCCAGACCTGGTGAGCATGCCCCTGCCTATCTTCCCCCACCTATATGGGTTTTAGGTTCCAAGGACGCTGAGGGCCAAGGAAAGGAGAAGTAGGGCTGGAAGCTATGAGATGAGAGTGCGGGAAGGGAACAGCGAACCCAGAACAGAGGCGCTGGAGGATAGAGAAAGCCAAAAATCTCAGGAAATTTAAAGTGGCGCGCCGGCAGATGGCGGTGGTTACGGATCTTGGATTCCCACATTGCCGACCTAAGTTCAAGTCCCGGACCAGGCAGCTTGCTTTCTCAGTTGCCCTCTTTCTATCCAGACGCGGGAACACAGGGCGGCCGCTGCGCTTCTGCTCTTGGGTGGGAGAGCAACACACCTGGAGCCATTATTGCCCGCGCACACGCGCACACACGCGCGCACGCGCGCACGCGGCCCGCGGCTGAGCTTGGACAGCAGGACGAGGCAGCGCGCCCTGCTGATCAGGCTTCTTTCCTTCCCGCAGGACGGCGCCGAGCATGCGCAACGTCTCGGAGCCGGCGGGATTCCTGCTCTCGGGCTTGCCCGGCCCGCGGGGGCTGCAGCGCCTGCAGGCGGGGGCTCTCGCCGCGCTGTACCTGGCAGCGCTGCTGGGGAACGTCCTGGTGCTGGCGGGGGTGGGCCCGGGCCCCCGCCCGCGCACC